TCGGGCTCCAGCTGTGGTTTTTGGCTTCAAAAGTCGATTTCAGTCATAGCTGCCGGGAAGGAGCTTTCGGGCTCAGGACATGGATTTTGGCCCCCGCAGCCCGGGTCGCTGTTTTTAGCTTCAAAAGTTGATTTCCTCTGGGGGGGGAGTTTTCAGGCTGCGGATAACGATTTTGGCCTCCGAAGCCCGTGTCGCCGTTTTTGGCCTCAAAAGTCAATTTTGGCCATCGTGGCCCGAGGAGGCAGTCTTCGGGCTCAGGACGTGGTTTTCTCGCTTCGCAGCTCAGGTCGCAGTTCTCGGCTTCAAAAGTCGGTTTTGAAAATTGAGGCCCGAGAGGGCATTTTCGGGCTCCAGACGTGGATTTCTGGCTTCGCAGAGCGGGTCGCCGTTTTCGGCTTCAAAAGTCAATTTTGGACATCGCGGCGCAAGGGGGGCTTTTTCGGGCTCCGGATGTGGATTTCTGGCTCGGCGGCCCGGGTCGACGCTTTCGCATTCAAATCTCTATTTTGGCCATCGCAGCCCGAGGAGGACATTTTAGGGCTCCGAACGTGGATTTGTGGCTCTGCAGCTTAGTTTGCCATTTTCGGTTTCAAAAGTTGATTTCGGCCATTGCGGCCTGAGGAGGACGTTTTTGGGCTCCGGACTTGGATTTCTGTGTCTACAGTCCGGGTCGCCATTTTCGGCTTCAAAAGACTATTTCGGCCACCGCGGCCCTACTACGTTGTTTTCTGTCTCCGGACGTGGATTTCTGGCTACGCAGCTCTGGTCACCGTTTTTGGCTTCAAAAGTTGATTTCAGGCATTGCGGCCAGAGGAGTGCGTTTTCGGGCTGCGGATGTGGTTTTCTCGCTCCCTGGCCCGAATCGCCGTTTTTGGCTTCAAAAGTCTATTTCAGCCATCGCGGCCCATGGTGGGTCGTTTTCAAACTCCGTACGTGGATTTTTGCCTTCGAGGGCCATGTTGCCGTTTTCGGCATCAAAAGTCGATTTCCGTCGTCGCAGCCCGAGGAGGGCGTTTTCGGGCTCCAGACGTGGTTTTCTCACTTCGCGGCCAGGGTCCCCGTTTTCACCTTCAAAACTCGATTTCGACCATGGCGGTCAGAGGAGGGCATTTCCGGACTCCGGACGTGGATTTCCGGTTCTGCTGCCTGGGTTGCCGTTTTTGGCTTCAAATCTCTATTTTGGCCATCGAGGCCCGAGGGGGGCATTTTCAGGCTCCGGACCTGGATTTCTGGCTCCGCGGCCTGGGTCGCCGTTTTGGACTTCAAAAGTCGATTTCGGCAATTGCGGCTTGAAGGGGGCATTTTTGGACTCCGGACATGGATTTCTGGCTCTGCTGCCCGGGTCGCCATTTCCTCCTTCAAAAGTTGATTTTGGCCATCGCGGTCCAAGGAGGGCATTTTCGGGCTCCAGAAGTGGATTTTGGCCTCTGCAGCCCGTGTCTCCGTTTTCGGGTTCAAAAGTCGATTTCGGACATCGCGGCCCGAGGATGGCGTTTTTGGGCTCCGGACGTGGATTTCTGGCTCGGCTTCCTGGGTTGCCGTTTTCGCCTTCAAACGTCGATTTTAGCCATCGCGGCCCGAGGAGTGCGTTTTCGGGCTCTGGACGTGGATTTCTGGCTCCGCAGCCCGGGTCACCGTTCTCAGCTTCAAATCTCTATTTCGGCCATCGAGGCCCGAAGGGGGCGTTTTCGGACTCCGTACGTGGATTTCTGGCTCGGCGGCCCGAATCGCAGTTTTCGCATTCAAAAGTCGATATCGGCCATCACAACCCGAGGAGGGCGTTTTTGGGCTCCGGACGTGGATTTTGGCCTCCGAAGCCCGTGTCGTCGTTTTTGGCTTCAAAAGTCAATTTCGGCCATCGCGGCCCAAGGAGGGCATTTTCGGGCTCCGGATGTGGATTTCTGGCTCTGCTTCCCGGGTCGCCATTTTCACGAGAGACGCGGAGCGG